CAGCGTTTTGAATTAATTGTAGTGATCTCTGTTGTAAGTAAACAGCTCCACTTGCTGGTCACAGAGGCACAGTGCAGCTTAACATTAGTTTCTCTGGAGTACTAAGGTTCCATATATGAGATTCTGAATCATTTTACACATTATTTTTATGTATTAGGTCATCTCAGGCCGAAAGACCACCGGGCTTACAGTTCACTGAACTGAACTCTGATACTGACTGGTGTTTGTGTTATTTTGCTTCCATTGATAAATAGAGTGGACATACAATTAGATTCAGAATCAATGTCTTTTTGATTTACACACTTACCTTGTTGGTGGACACGTGTCATTTTTTTGCCAGCGTCTGTACCTCCCCTGTCAATTTCACTTGTGTAGATGTCAGTACCAGCTTTACCAACAGAACAATAACAATAATAATCTGAGTAATTACAGGGTTCCCAGAACCAGCTTGCTTTCATGGCCAGCAGCCCCTTTAGGCTTGGCCCTTGTATAAATAAACCTCACAGAGCTGCTAACGTTGATGTGGACTACCAGCTCAGGTCACGTTGTTAAAGAAATGTGTCAGTAACGTGGGAGTAAATAAAGTCTTTATTCAGGAAACAATTCATCTGAGATACACACAGTCCACAGAGTCTTCACCTCAGAGATAAACTACATTAAAATAAATGTCGTCTCCGTCCTGAGACTCTTTAAAAACAAACTGAATCATGAGTACAAAGTCTGTCCCACCTCCTCACCTGGACTGCAGAGGCTTTTATTCTGAAGCATAAAAATTTAGATGTTCTCCAGTTCTGTTGGACAGTTTGTTGTGGTCCTACAGGTTGTGGCACAGTTAAACCTTCAGGAATCAGGAGACCAGCTCCTGTCCCTGCAGGACCTGACTTGTCGTCACCTCTTCCTCTACTGACACTCAGAGACCTTAACCTTTGTTCTTTATCCAAATAAAATCTCCTCACATCGTCTCTTCTTTGTGCCATTTTTTTAACAGAGAGCCAAAGTAGATTCAGAGTTTACATGTAGACAAACCCCACAGCTACACGCTAACTTTGGCCTAAAAGTTTTGTCCTAAACGCCGGACGCTGCTGCTCTCCTCCTGTCAATCATCCTCCTGATCCTGGTCCTCGTCTATCTCTCAGCGCTGATCTTGTAGCGGAGAACGAAGTAAGCGATGAGCCTCAGAGAGAAGAAGAAGATGCCGAGGACGATGAAGTCCAGGTAGAGTTTGGCGTCCAGCATGTCCAGCTCCTTCAGGATGGCCTCAGACTTCTGGAAGTGACAGGTCTCATCTTCATCGCAGTGAAGATCCTCTCGGTCCAGACCGTAGATAGACAGGATGACGCCCTCGAAACCGTATCTGAAACACAACACAGGAGGACTTTACAGGAGGACAGCGGTCAGCGGACGTAGATGTATTTGACTTTGATTTCTTTTAGATGATAATTCAAGTAAATATGGACGATTTGAAGCACCAAGAGCAATGCATACAGATATATATGGAACAGTTGTAATGTTGGCTGGCAAACTTTATTGTAATGCTTTTATTTGATGCTCCTTCCTGCTCTGAATATACTGTGATAAAATAGTACAGTACTGTACGTCATTATTAGTTTGTAAATTCATTATATTTTAGGGAAGATATTTAAAGGATTCTGTTGCAGACTTATTTAATCAAACAGCACCCCCACCTGACGTAGGAGATGTAGGACATCCACTGCAGGTACCAGGGGATGGTGTCGAAACTGACGAAGAACCCCGAGAACAACAGAACAGGGATTGCTGTGACCGGACCAACAAACGTCGCCACCTGCAGGAAACAAACACACCGGAGTGAGGTCAGCAGGTGAACACACCTGTCTGTGAGCTCACACAGGTGAGTTTATAGAAACTGACCTGCAGAGAGGTGGAGGCGGCGCCGATCAGCAGACCCAGACTCTGAGCCACCAAAGAGGTCAGAACTCCCAGAGACAGGAAGAGGAAGAAGCGCCCGGCGTCTGGAGGCTGAGCCGTCATCCAGTAGACAATACTGCAATACACCACCGGGAATATTACCTGTACAGAGGACACACAGTACGGGGCAGTATGCAGTGAAGTACACTGCCAAAGTATTGCTTCTACAAAAGGACATAATCTTTAAAATAAAGTTTTGTTCTCACTCACTGCTTAAATTTACAAGCTTTCTTCTGATTTTGAAGCAAAAACAGATTTCTTGAGGGACGGATGATGGAAACTGGTTTGCCAGACTAAAAACCCATTTTGATCTGAACTAACCTGAGTGAACCGGCTCAATAAGTTAAACTATTAAATCTATAGTCACTGAATCTGAATCTACTGGGAAAATGTAACTGGAAAGTAAGTAAGTACATTTACTCAAGTGCTGTACTTAAATACAGTTTTGTGTTTTTTTCACATTCATGCTACTTTCGACTTCTACTCCACTACATTAAGTTATGACTTTAGTTACTGTTTACTTATTTACACATTAAGATTTTATATTAAAAAAAAGAGTTTGGGAAATACAAAATATTGTAAAAGATCAAAGTAAAGTTTCTCAACAGTTTTGTGTCCCTGATGTAAAATCATTGAGTAGTTGTATCTCTCGTAGAGTTTTTATCAGTTCCACCAAAGACACATTTTACCTCCAAACCTTTCACATGCTTGTTGTACCATTATGTTTGATTCCTTGATTTTGCGTGTTATCACACTTTATTTGCTTTTTCACATGTCATTTTAGTCTGTCTGTAAAACAAAATGAGAACAAGAAATAAATAAAAGTTTCCTTCTTTAACTACACGAAGCTGAGAATACTTGTGTACTTTTACTGCTGCTGATTACTGCTGATTGCTACTAAAAGATGTAGAACTTTATTTTTATGTCTTTCAGCAGCTGCTTGGCCAGCAGCCAGATGCATTGTGGGACATCAGAAGCTCACTCAGAAATGATGAATTTAGAGTCATGTGATGTTACCTGGAAGGGGACGTCAGCCATGGTCTTGGCCAGGTAATAAGCCTTCAGACTGTACCAGTAGTTCAGGTGTTCCCTCAAGAAAACTCCCATCTCCAGAGGAACTGAAGAAAACACACAAAACACCATCAGATCCAAAAGAACATTATTTTGTTATTTATTTATACATTGTTTTTAGATCTTGATGAATTCAAATGTTTATTTTTTTAATTAATATTTTGAATAATAACCTAAACTTTAAAAAGAATAATTTTTGTTTTGTTTTGGTTTTGGTTTTCACAGAAATTAATGAAATGTTGAGATATAGTTTGTATTTTTTTATATACGTTTTTTAAACTCCTTAAAATCAAGAAGGCCTCATGGCCACCTGTGAAGTCTTGGCGACCCTTGGGGGGGCCCTGACCCCCAGGTTGGGAGCCATTGTTCTAGCCTTACAGTTTGAATGCTACACTCTTACACTCGCTGTAGATTAAGGAGCACTGTACTCGTAAATCGTACAATACCACATTCTTCATTACAGTAGAATACCTTAGATTTTATTGCATTGTGGGTAATTTTTAACAAGCAGGAGTATTTTACAGTATATTTTAGTATAGTAATATTATAATACTAGTAACTGAAGAATATATGTAATCTAATTAATAATAGTAATAATAATTACTAGCAAATATTATAATTAGCAGTAATATATCAATATTAATATAACTGGATATATTGCAGTACAACATAATAAAATACAGCAGAAATAGACCAAATTACAAAAAATGGTAAAAAATACAGTAAGTACAGTCAAATTGTAGTAATGCAGTATTGTTGTGTATACTGTAAATTGCAGTACAGTTACAGTACAGTTTAATGTAAATTTAAATACAGCAACTGTGCCACCAGTAACTTACTGTAAATATACAAGGACTTTCTACCTCAAATAAGTAACTGAGTCAATGTAGACCTGTGCTACATCCTATCACTGTGTTTTTCTTTGTAACACAGACACAGACTGAAGATGAACATCTCTAAAATTAATACTTTACAGTGTGTGAACTCACATGTGAGCACTGTAGGCATTAGAGCAGCGAACATCAGGAACAACATGGAGAAGAAGAGGAACCCAGAGTTACTGAGAACCTTCTTGGCCTCGTTCCCAATGCCCAGATACAGCAGGCCGATCAGGACCCCAATCCCGATGTGAGAGGAGATCCTTAGGTGAGTCAGCACCTACTCGACCAACCAGAAAAAAGATGTGTTACTGAGCTTGTGAGAGCTGCAGTAGCAGGCAGTGTCCAACAGGCGACGCTGTGTTATTCTCACCGAGTCTCTGAGGATGCTGAGGAACGTCCTCCTGAACAGGATGGAGAACTGGGTCATACAGCTCGCTGAGAAACTGTGACAACCTTCAGACGACGAACTCTCCTGAGGAGCAAACACATACTTTAATATCATCAATAATCAGATCTGATTTATGATCGTTTTACATCCTATCAAGATTATGTACTTTGATTGAGTAAATTAATCAGGGGGAGATAGCGGGTCTACAGTAGAAGTGGCATACATCATCTGAAAGCTGGAACCTGAAGATTCACTAGAAATACAGCTCAGCATTGTGTACACAAATCTTTAATAAACATTGTGTTTCTTTAGATTCCTAGTCACATATTGAAAGTTCAGAGTGTATAAAGGCTACGGTTTTTGGGTTGACAGTACAGACCTCTGACCTGTATCTAAAGCACTGACCTTTGACCTATATGCAGCACTGACCTCTATCCTGTATCTTCTCTGTCCTGTGTAACTTAGTATTATTGTGGAGCTTTTGTCGATAGAATTGTATGAACTGTTACACACAAGTGTGATGTGTCTTTATGTACAACATTCCCAACATTTGATTTTAATCCAATTCAGTATTAAAGAATTATGGCCTGTTAAGTGCATCAGGCTCGCCTACGGCATTGATCTCTGTCTTGTATCCATCCTGACCTCTCTGACTTAGTTATTACTGTCAGGTGGACTCAATCAAATCATTATTAACTGTCTCTAAAATATTAGTGTCAAAAAGTCATTAAAAAAATTTAATACATTTTATTTTGCTATGCTACAGTAGAAAAGTTTCTAGATTTATTTGATACGAGTATCTTGACTCTGGCTTTTTTTTATGTTTTCTTTTGAAAATATTGTTCTGACTGTGGGTGCGTTTGTTTTCCACCTCTTCTGTGCGCTGCCACAGGAGCGGGTGGAGGTTGGTAACTCCGTTCAGTTCAGTCTGATAATCCTTCTCACACTTCCTCTCCTGGACGGCTTTCACAAGTCGGACCATCTGATCCCCGTACTCTCCAGACGCCACCTCCATCACTGAGGACGCCACAGAGACACAAACTGAGACCTCCAGAGTCACATGACAGGAAGTTCCTACTGTTACGGTCAGCTGCAGTTCCTCTAACAGCCACAAGATGCTGCTGCTGGACTCTAGAGGAGCTTCAGACATTGTTTTTATCATCCAGCTCTTACCACTGATGGAATGTAACATCTACTCTAGGGGTTTCTTACCGAAGTCAGCAGGGTTGTGGTAGGTAGGGCAGTTGAGTCCGAGGTCTCTTAGGTAGGGAACCAGACTGGAGACTTTCCCTCTGTAGATACACTGCCCTTGACTCAGAACGTACAGCTGCAACACACATATACAGATTGAAGTGTCAGCAGTAAAGGTATCAGAAGTACAGGTACAGGAGTAAAAGTATCAGTAGTAAAGGTATCAGCAGTAAAAGTACAGTAGTTAAAGTATAGGAGTAAAGGTATCAGTACTAAAGGTACAGTAGTACAGGTACAGGAGTAAAAGTATCAGGAGTAAAGGTATCAGTACTAAAGGTACAGTAGTACAGGTACAGGAGTAAAAGTATCAGTAGTAAAGGTATCAGTAGTTAAAGTACAGTAGTAAAGGTATCAGTAGTTAAAGTACAGTAGTAAAGGTATCAGTAGTTAAAGTACAGGTGTAAAGGTATTAGTAGTTAAAGTACAGTAGTAAAGGTATCGGTATTATTATCAGCTTCATGCAGTTCCACCAGTGGTGTTCCATGTGAGTGGCAGTAGAGTGCCTCCGGTGCTGCTGGGTAATGTAGTGCTGTGTGTGTTCACCTTGTCGAAGAGTTCGAACAGTTTGGCGCTGGGTTGGTGGATTGTGCAGATGACGGTCCGTCCCCCCTGAGCCAGAGCCTTCAGCAGAGACACCACCTGGAAACAGGACGAGCTGTCCAGACCGCTGAGACACAGACACACAGGAAGTTTCACCCTTTATGGTTCTCAATGAAAAGAAATCAATGAAATAAGGCGATAGAAACTCTTTCGCTTTTGTCCACCAGGGGTGGACAATCTTGCCAGGCTTGTTTGTGTCTAACCACAGTGGTACCAGACCAATCAGCATCCTGTGAGGATCTTACCTTAACCCTCCCCATTCTCACTCCTCATGCCTAAACCTAACCAACCAAACCAATGACAGCAACAAGTACTAGTCAATCAGGCCTCTTTTCCACCAAATTAGCTTCTTGAACCGGTTCCATTTGAGAACCAGAGATTCTTGATTCTTGTTGTTTTTGAGTGCAACCATTTCATTTGGATGCATCATCCACAGAGGGCGCTGCACAACGAACAACAACCTATAGGATATGACACACCCACAGCTGGGAATCAACTTTTCAGGTTCCGAACCCAATTTATGTTTGGTGGAATTTCTCTGAATGGTTCACAACTTGGTGCTTCAACCCTGTTGCTGGGAGAGGCATGCAGAGTAGGGTAGGTCATGACATTGCCAGCCTGGGAAATGAATGAATGAATGCTTTTCTCTCTTCTCCTGACTGACTTCAGTACGAGTTTGACTACGTTATATGGTTCATTGATCTGATTGGTTGATAGACAGATGGATCATCCAGTATTTTTTTAAATTGTATGCCCTTTTCCAAACAACAACAACCATTTCCAGATGGTTCTATGTAACTTACATATGTCGCCCATACGGGACTCAAACACACAGTCTCCTGGGTCGAACTAAAACTACAGAACAATACGAGTCCAGGGACAGGAAGTTCTCTACAGACCTGGTGGGTTCGTCAAAGAACATGACTGGAGGATTATTGACAAGCTCCAGAGCGATGGCCAGTCTCTTCCTCTGACCTCCCGACAGGTGAGACGTCCTGGTTTTCGCACAGTCCAGTAAACCCAGCGCCATCAGGATCTCCCGGACCTGAACACACACAGACAGACCAGGACCCAGAAATGCTTAACCTCTGAGATCAGTATAAGACCAGGAAGCAGTTCGGGGTCAAAGACTCACCATCTCTCTGCGAGCCTCCACCTTCTCCTGCAGCTTCAGGTTGGCTGAAACCTGCACAGACAAGATCCAGACCTGAGGAGTCCACATTCAACCAAAACCTGCATCAGACTGCAGTAAATAATGCAGTAGACTTCAGGAAACACCAGTTAATACTTCGTAGTATACATTAATATATATATTATATGTATTTTAAAGTGCAGTAGAGCTCATTTTTATACTGGAGTATTTTAATTTACTGTGTAACAGAGTGAACACTGTTGTACAAGTAGCTCAGATTGTACTCGAATGCAGTATATAATGTACTCAGTTATTCTGCAGTATTCGGTACCATCATGGCCTCTTGGACGGTGAGGTGAGGCAGCAGCATGTCGTCTTGCATGATGTAACAGGAAACCTTCCTGAAGGAGCGCAAGTCTCTGGGCTGACTGTTGATCAGGATCTCCCCCTTCATTCCAGTCTCCCTGTTCACACACAAACACACACTGGTACTGGTACTGATACTGGACAACTCTGATACTGGTACTGGTACTGGTACTGGACTGATACTGGACTGATACTGGTACTGATACTGGACTATACTGGTACTGGTACTGATACTGGTACTGATACTGATACTGATACTGATACTGGTACTAATAATAATAATGAATACCATTTTATTTAAAAGAGCGCTTTCTGAATACTCAAGCACTGACATATAATAAAAGAAGATACAAGACATCAATAGGTAAAAACAATATAAAACAGTACATTACATATGTTAAAAACACATTAGACTCAGATTTTTTAAAAGCTATTTTGAAAAGGTGTGTTTTGTCAGTGATTTGAATGTTGGAGGGTCAGTACAATCACAAGGGATGGCTTTGGGGAGAGAGTTCCAGAGGGAGGGGGCAGCTACAGAGAACGCTCTGTCGCCCCAGGTTCGGTGCTTGGTCCGGGGTGGTGGAGTCAGAAGGTACTGATACTGATACTGGTACTGGTACTGGTACTGGACTGACACTGATACTGGTACTAAACTGGTAGACTGATACTTATTAATCAGTTTTTACTTTTCCTCATTTAGAGGAATGTACTTTTTAACACTTTAGTTACTTTATTAATATTTTTACACACAAACACATTTATAAAATATGATGTTCTGAGTACTTTTACTTTTAAAACGTTACATATATTTTTTAATGCTAATACTCTACTTTTAATGCAGGACTTTTACGTAACAGAGTATATCTACAATCCAGTGTTGGACGCTGAGTCCGACTTCAGGCTGACTCACCTGTATCCGGCCAGGATATTCATGAGGGTGGATTTCCCGGCTCCGGAGGGGCCCATGATGGCCACCAGGTCCCCGCTGGTGAATTTCCCAGAGATTCCTTTGAGCAGAGTCTTGTAACCTGAGACGGGACAGAAACAATCAGTGTGCAGGTTCCCAGCCGCTCTCAGAGCTGCTCTTTGTCCTCGAATCCACCAGTTCAGGTTTCACACCAGTTTGGGGGTTTCACATGAAACACCCACAAACTGAACTCACCTGAACTCGTTCCTCAGAGATTTATTTTCAAAATAAAATAAAGTGAAAGAGACGCTTACTGATGCTACAAGTCTTCAGCTCTCATTTAAGGATTCAAATAAATTCAAATAAATTCAAATAAATTCAAATGAATTCAAATGAATTCAAGTAATTTGAATTTAAAAAAAATAATCCAGGTTATTTTACAGATTTTATTAAATTAAATTAAATATTTTTAACATTAGACAAAAGAAATACACAAGATTTTATGTAAAATAAAAAAACTAAAGCTACAAACTGTTTTTTAATTATAGTTTATTTATACAGTTATTTTCGGTTATTGTATTGTAATTTTTGGGCGTTCATCTGCTAGGCTGCTTAAAGAAGTCGTACCCTTCAATGGCACTTATTTTACTGGAATAATCAATCTTTCTTAACTATCAGGATATAAAAACCTTGATAAGCTGCAATTTTCTGATGCTAAACTCAGAAAAAACTGAAGTTCTTGTACTTGGCCCCAAACACATCTGAAAACTGTCTACAAAGCTCTTCATGTCAGGCCCTTCATATGTTAAAGAGCTCATAGACCCTATTACACTCTAGAACACTACGTTTCTGAATGCTGGGCTACTTGTGGTTCCTATAGTCTCTAAAAGTAGAACAGGAGCCAGAGCCTTCAGTTACCAAGCTCCTTCCTGTGGAACAGCTCCAGTTGTGTGTCTGGAGGCAGACACCCTCTCCACATTTAAGAGTAGGCTTAAGACGTTAAGATAACTTCTGTTATGATTGGAGGATGGATGATTGATGATGATGATAATGATGATGTCCTGCAGTAACCGCTGCAGTGTTTATCTGCTGATGGAGGCTGAACACTCGTTAATGAGATTATCAGATTTAATCTGATCGAATCTGGCTTAATGCTCGCTGACCGACAGTAACCTCTACTGCAGTAATACACACTGTATCTGCCAGTAATACACACTGTACTGCAGTAATAACCACTGTACTGCAGTAATACACACTGTATACACACTGTACAGCTCCTTTCCTGTACTTAGATATGCTATGCTAAGCTAATCTGTGTTGAAAAGAAAACCACATTTTGAAAATTGTTAAAAGATAAAAGAGACATTTAATAGAAATGGATGGACTGTAAAATAAAGTTGTACTGATAAAATAAAACTCTTTAACCAACGTTCAATTCTAAACGTTTTCTGAGGCTTTCAGACCTATCTGAGAGGAGGATGTTTGCTCAGGCGACTCAGTGATGTATTACGGGAAGTGATGAGGACCATGAGATGCTGTTGAAAGCTTGGATAAAGCGTGTAAGAGCCCCATGAGCAACATTTTCCTTCTCATTAAACTGACCTTACAGCAGCAATAGAATCAGTTTAGTTTACACAGGTGTCTGGTGCTATGTACAGTATGTTATATATATTATCTAGATTATATATTATAATATAGATAATATATATGGATATAAGCAGACTCTCCCTCAGTGCTGACCGTCAGGTGGATCAGCAGCGATCAGGAACATTTATACAGTTTGGATGCTGAGCAGCAGCTCTGACTCAGATTAATGACAACGACCGGCAGTAACCTCATTAACAGAGCTGCACTCTAGGAATACCCACAATGCATCCGGATCTCTACCTGTCCATCGCCTTTTATCACGTCATAACTCATCCATAATTTTTCCCTGTTCACCATCATCATCATCACCATCATCATCCTCATCCTCAGTGAGTTGGTCACACTCAGGTGTGAACTGTTTTCAGTTTTCTGCTTAAGATGAAACAGATCTGTTAAATCTCATTACACAATGTACTTCATACAGAGTGTTTATTATCCTGTATACTGCACAGGCCTATGTTATCATATCCATTATATATAATATATATATAATATATAATATATATTAATGTATTGGGGCAATGTTAATCTGAGAATTTGACAGTGAAGTTTAAATATTTTGAGAATAAAAATCCTAAGAATCAGAGAAGAAAAGGTGGTGATGATTGTGGAATAAATCCGATCACACCTTTACAGAGTTTCCCTGTGCAGACAAACAGAAATAAAACTTGGATGGACTGAATATGATTCTGGTGAAACATGTTACATAAATGGAAGAATTGAGCACAAACTCATCAGGTTTCTGTTTGCAGACTCTTTGTTTTCTTCACTCTTTTCTGTCTTTTGTCCTCTGAAGCTGAAACATGATACCAGCTTTTCTGTCCACATTCACTAAACCTGCTTTTATTGTCGCAGCTGCTGCAAACAGAGCCCAATTTCATCCTAAATGCACTTCATCGTTTATTAAAGAATTAATAGTTTATATAGCTTTAATGTTTCCTAAACACACATATTGTCTCATAAAGTGAGCCACTTGTTGACTGTGTCACTGAGAGCTATACACCTGCATAAAAGTGCAGTTATTTGTCTCATTTATAGAGGATTTTAATATGTATTATTTTGCTGATGATGTATTTTTATTATAACGTAGATCTCTTTAAATGGCTGCTGTGTTCAAGAAGATCTGACATGATTTCATTCTCATTTTCGCTGTGGTTTGTCATTTTTAAAAAGTGGATCCCCAGAAACAGTTTCGGAAACACTGATCGACATATGTGTTTTATATAATAAATATAAAACTATAAATACTATATTACTATAAAAATCTAATCTAACTATGAGGTCACTGAAATGTCATTTAAATCTAAGTTTTGCATGTTCTGTAATATTTAGTCTCCATATTGCTCATGGATAGACAGCATACCTCCATGATTAGTGCAGAGCTAAAACATGACGGTAAGATAGTGGGCGGAGGTCAGATGACTGGTTCAGAAACTATGCAATCGTGGCACCGAACAGGAACTAGTGGAAAGAGCAGTGTGGACCAGGAGGACCCCTATTGCACCAGACTAGCTCCGGTTCTTGAACCGGTTCATTCAGGATTAAACAAACTACCAATAATCAATTATTAGTAATAAACTTCCTCCTGAGCTGTCTGCAGCTGAACAGGGTCCACCTACGCAGCTGGATTTTAATACTGGTCATAATGGTGGAACTGGGAGAGCCTGATACTGTCTGAGGGGATACACACTGTAAACAGTTTACTGTTTTACACGTTGCTCATGTAGTACAGTGTTGTACAGTGTAGTGCAGTGTAATAAAGTGTAATACAGTGTAATAAAGTGTAGTACAGTGCATTGTTTACATTCAGGTGTTTTTCCTCAGCAGACAGAAGTGATTCTAATCTTACCTGCAGCTATTTACAGCAGGAGACCCTGACTGAGATTAACAGATTACAGCCTGATAATCTAACACACACACACACACACACACACACACACACACATTGATAATAAATAAACTTGTTGTTGAACCCTGATGGCTGAAATAGAGCAGAGTGGAGAGTAACTGAGTACATTTACTGAACTGAGTATTTTGAGGTACTTCCGAGTATTCCTGTTTTAACTCCAGTGAATTGATCCAATTTATGTACAAATATGTGATCGTATTGATGAAGTAAACAAACGCTTCCAGAAGAACCTCTTACATGTTGAATATACAATCAGGATTTAAACTAAAACAATACACTGAAGCACCCTGAATGCCCACAATCCTCTGCTGCATGACATCAGTGTCACTTTAATGAATGAAATCCTCCCGTTTGTCTGCCTGATGGGACAATGCAAAATGTTTCTGATTTTCATGAAACGAGTTTAATCAGATTATAAATTCATTGATTGATGTTCATGAAGCTGAGTCCTGAGTTTAAGGTTTACTTTCATAAATCAGACGATTGTCACATTAATGTTTTCAGATATCAGATGGATCCACATTAAAGCATTCACAGCGTACCTGTGTACAGGTGCGCGGTAAGGGGACTGCAGGTTGTTGACTGACAGTAACCTGCCCAGATACAAACAGACCTCAGATCAGCAGTCAGTACATCAGTGTTACACTGTGTTTGAGCTCCGTCAGCAGAAACAGATCAGTGTGTTACTGAACACACCTGGACTCAGATTACAGCATTAAAGTGTAACTCCACCCTCCAGTTCTGTTAGCTCCTCCCTCTCAGCTAATGTACAAAAACTGCTTCAGAGACCTGCAAAGGACAGTGACTTCAGGGGGCGTGGCCTTAACACCGACTGCAGTGATTGACAGATTGAAACAGCAGTGTAGCAGTCAGAGCTAACAGAGCTAATGAGCAGTTGCTGTCAGACTCTGTGTCCACACTGAAAACTCAGAGAGTCCGCTGGAGCTCGTACTGTCACTAGAAGCACATTCATGGTGTTTGTAAAAGTTTCTGTGTGCTACCTGTTTGTAGCTAAGCTAGCGGCTCAGAGAGGCTAACCCTAAGCACTGGACTCACAGGGTTCAGACACATTTTTCTAAAACTGTTCTGATCATTTGAACGTGTCTTTTTAACATCGATTCATCAATGATAAAAAACCTTGAGGGTATCAGGTGTGTCTCAGTACCTTTCTTCCTCCACCAGGGTCCCTCTCTGACGGAGTACGAGACGTCCTTGAACTCGATGTTGACGGCCGGTCTCCGCGGTAACGAGGAGAACCTCTGGGCCTCCGTCAGGTTGTTGTCCACCTTCTTCAGGTGTCCCTGCAGCAGCGGCGTCTGCTGGCTGCCCGCCGGCCGCTTGTTGACCACCTCGTCCATACAAACGCACACCGTCCGGGGGTCCAGCATCAAGTCCGGGGGCCCGTTGGTGTTCTGAGGTTCCACCAGAGACAGATGTCAATCAATCACATTGAACAGGATATAAAGAGAACAACATCCTGTTATATGATCAAATATTATTGTTCACAAAGACAGTCAGTCTGTGTATGAAAAGATCTCATGTTTTTATGACAGTAAAATGTTCTGATGGTAAAAGAACAAGATTTTGTAGTGAGAACTCTTTTTGTACCGACACAAAACAAACACAGAAGCGGTAACTTTATACCAAACGTTTTATCCAAAGCATTTTAACCATCTTCAGAATGTGGTTGACTTTCCAATATAGATTAGCCTAGCCTAGCATATCTTAGTACAGGAAGTTGACGAGGTTTGCTCAACTGTGATTGGAGCACAGAGCAAAAGGGGCGGGGCTTATGAAGGGTTAATTAAGGTTAAGTTCCATTTAGTGCAGCAGCCTTTCCAATAGCAGCACCCTGACTAACCTGAATGGAACCTCAGTCAGTATCATCGGTAGCACCTGTGTCTACCCTGTTTCATTTTACAATGGCTGTTGTGAAAAAGGTCTATAAGGTAGAGTAACAACACTTTATCATTGTTCCTGACTCCTGAGGAGCGAGAGCGTCGTGCTGTCAGAAGTAGTCCAGCACTGTGATTGATTAGGCTCCGGTGCCGGTATGTGGGGCAGCGTGTGAGCATCCTGCTCCCATATGGGACTCTAATCTGCCTCCAGAGAGACGGCAGGAGGTCACTGTCGGACACAGGAGAGCTTAGTCAGCGAGGATTTACAGACTGAGAACAAACAGACTGCGGCTGTGATTCAGCAGAGAATCACCACCATCACCATCATCATCACCATCGTCATCATCACCATCAGTGCTAACGGCCACAGTATTGATTTATGGTGCGTTCACATGCTCTTCAGTCGGGAAGTCGCTCCTCCGACTTTGATTTGTTCGTGACCTTCTGAGTCTTAAAGTCCACATGAACCAGGACTCAGAGAGCTGTTTGCTCCCTCGTGTTTACGTATTTAAAATAGGAAGTTAGGGAGGGAGTTGGAGTGGTAGCCAGCAGTGCTTCTGTACAGTGGAGTTGTTTTATAGAACGATGGCCGAGCATCAGTTCACAACAGAAGAATATTATTAAGTAATAATATTAATGATTGTTAAAATGATAAAAATACAGGAAACAGGAAATAATCTGCTCAAAATTGAGTTCATTGTACAGTTTCAATATAAAATATCCATTGAATATGGATGATTTCTTTAAGGTCACAGGTTGGGAGTCAGTCACATAGAAGATGCAATTCAATTCAATTTTATTTGTATAGTGCCATTCATAACAGAAGTTATCTCAGGACACTTTCCAACAATAGAGCAAGGTCTTAGAACCGAACTCCTTTTACATGAGCAAGCACTTGGAGAAAGGGTTCCAAAATGTATTTTATTCCTTTTTATTAGTTTTATGACTTTACCTGACTGCTTATCAGAGTTAATGCTGATAAATAACTTTATGATATATAACAGTCCATCATCTGTCTTATTATTTATATTGTTTTTATCATATGTCAGCACTATAGTTGGTATTTTATTATTTTAATTGTATTTAAATCTAAATAGATTTAAATAAAATATTTTCATTTAATATTAAAATGAATGTGAAAATCCCTTTAAACTTACAGATTATATTATTTTACAGTGTTAAACTTATCTACAGATCCGCTTTGTCTCCACTGTATGTCCATCATATGAGTCCAGTCTGGGTCCAGTCTGGGTCCAAGTTCTATGAAGTCCCAGTCTGTCCAGTCTATGATCCTGGTCTGGGGTCCATTCTGGGTGCTTAGTCTATGGTCCTGTCTGGTCCAGTCTTGGGGCAGTCTATGAGTCCTGGTTCTGGTCCAGGTCTGGGTGCCAGTCTATCTGGATGTACCTGGTCTGGGTCCATGTTCTGGGTGCAGTCTATGAATCTTGTCTGGGGTCCAGTCTGGGTGAGTCTATGATCCTGTCTGGGTCCGTCTGGTGCAGTCTATGGTCCTTTGTCTGGGTCCAAGGTCTTGGGGCGAGTCTATGAGTCATGTCTGGGTCCAGTCTGGGTGCAGTCTATGAGTCCAGTACTCACCATGATGATGGAGTTGGTGACGGTGGGGTTGTGGACGGACCAGGCGGCCATCAGACAGGCCATGGCCGAGAGACAGCAACACTGGGACACTCTGCTTCCCTCACACACATCTGATCACTGCGCACTGACAGACAGCACACTGTAGGTTAACCCCGCCAAGCCCGCCTCCCTGCTGTCCCCGCCCACCTCCCCATAGTTGCCCCGCCCACATATATGATAGCCCCGCCCACCCAAATACCCTGGACATGTTGAAATTTAATTTGTTTTTTTTAAATCTGTAAATTTCTGGGTGTTTTTTTTCATTTTTAAAAATACATTTTAATAAAAAGACAAAAACATTTTGACAAACAAAAAAAAATCCCTTTTTCCACATAAAAAGTTAAAATACATTTTGCAAATCTATAATTTTTTTGCAGATATTTACTATTTATTTAATAAATTCAACTGTTAAATTCCAGTTTAATACTGTTAATACATTTGTAAAATTATGTAAAATTAGTGACATTAACAGTAAAACAGTATTTGTTGTGTAATTTAATTAATTTATTGAATGTACTTTTACAAGGATTTGTTTGTTAATTGGCCGATATTTTGTATAATTATGGAAATTTTCACAACAAAAAGCAGCTGAAAACAGTAAATCTGACAGGAATTAAGTTGTTTTTGAACCTTTTCAGCTGTTTCTATTTTCTATCTTTCACCTACTGTATGATCTTCCTGCTTTAATTTATATTGTGTGATCTGATTGATTGAATGTGTGTTTTTACGAGTCCTTTCCTTCCTTTATCGTTTGGGTGTCGTTGTTGCTCTGTGCTGCTCCTACTCCACCGTTGGCACGCTGAACTTTAGCTTCTTCCTCCTGGGCGGAGGTCTACAGTCCCAACATGTAGAACAAAGCTTCCAGCAGCTTTCACTCAGATTAACTTTTAAGTTTTTACCAGTATTTTTATTCTCTTTAGTCCTGATTTTTAGATGTTCTTATAGATAATTATATACAGATAAAGTACACTGTAAAAAGATTTGTTTGTAATTTTATTTTTTAAATAAATGGGAAAGTTAATAAAATTTCAAAAATAACCTGTGAAATGATCAAGTCTGTAACTGTAAATAATCATAAAATTACTGATTTAGAGAAAATTTCACATAATTTTTTTTATTTATTTTGCAAATCCATAATCTATATTTACTGTTTATTCAATAGATTCAATTGTTGAACTCAAGTTTAATACTTTTAATACATTTATAAAATTATGTAAAATAAAGTGCCATACGTAAACTATTCAGGGTGTGTAATTCCTGGATTGTTTATTAAATTCCACAGATATCTCCTGTATAATGATGAACAAAAAAATGTTGAATAAATGTTGTTTATCAGTGTATCATTGGTAAACTGTCCACATAGTTTTTATCAGTGTAAACAGCAATAATTACTGTAACAAGCCGAAGGATCCAAATAAAGAATAAAGTTAAAGTTGGAGTATCAGTACTACAGCTCCACCTGGTGGTTGAACTGTGACACTGCAGAGTAACCGACTGATGGAGAAAATGAAACTGAACATTAAATATTCTGCAGGTACCAGCGTTTAACGAGGAACAAAAAACATCATGATTCATTAAGTCACTCAGGACTTTGGTAACAATATCCATCTTTAATATTTCCACACACAGAAGGTACACAGAGTAAGGCTCTGAGGAAAATAACCGTACAAAACATTCAAAATGAAAAGTTTGGTCGACATTCAGTCCACTTCCTGTTGTAAGGCATCAACATGTCTGTCTGTGAGGAGTCTTTAGCATTCAGACCCGTTAGCTTGGGAGATGCTAATAATGCTAATCTGTCGTTAATGTCAAACTTCAACTTAACTAAAATAAAAAGTTCAAAAATGGACCCAAAATATTTTTATTCACATTTTGTTTTTTATATTTTTTTTATAGTAGCTGCTGCTTGTTTTCCACCTGTCTGACCCTCACAGGTGTTTATTCTCCCTCATGTGGCTCCGCCCACCAGTGACGTGTCACGTTGTTGTGTCTTTATTCCATCAACCAATGACAGTAATGATCCAAAAACCAGTCAATCACAATGCGACACGTCACTTTCTGATTCCAGAAACCTTCAACAGGAACTCTTGTGGAGCTGAAGTGTTCCTGTAACATCCAGAAAAATCTAAACTTCACACAAATACTTTCGACAGCGTCCTGAATTAACACTTTACCTGCTTTTATTAAACCTTTAATGAGCTGCAGAACATTGTCCTCTAAACCAGTGATTCTCAATCACCAACGACCCCAAAACTGACTAATTATGGTGTCCCGTCTGCGGCACGGTAGTCTGCGACATCAAACCCTAGCGAGAGCGTTTCAGAAGCGTCTTCCAGCCTGTATCTGGGAATCAAGGTTTTCAGTTCTTTCAGGAAGATGTGAAGCAAGAATTAACAAATTCAACCAAACCCTGTGAATTCAGCACGACCTGGTAATTTAATCTGATCACTGCGACTTTGCTGCAAATTCAGTGTAGTTTTCAGTCCTCATACATCCCCAACATTACTCGCTTTTTTATTTTTAATTAATTACACACAAGAAAATGAAACTTTCACTTTCTCGCAGAATTTCTTTTTTTTTTTTTTTAAACCTTAAAACATTTTTCTTTTAGAAAAGCGCAGACATTTTAGGAGCAACAATCCCCGTAAGAAAGCCAGTGAAATCCTGGACAGTGATTTTTGGGACTTAGTTGACCAATTATTTTTAAATTATCTTTAGTTGTCAGTCACAGTTTAACGTTTAAGGTTTGCGGTGCAGTTTGACTTCGTATATCCACGAGTATTAAAACCCTACAGAGAGCAATGCTTTCTTTTAATTTTATACATCTTGGGTATTTTACTTTGAAAACTGACTGGATCCTGTGTGCTTCTGTGTCTGACTTCCTGTCGATTCAACCGGCTCTGTAGGTGGTTGTTTTTTGTTTTTTTTAACCATTCGCAAAACAGAACTGAGACTTTTTAGAGACGAACGGCGACGAGTGACGAGTCATTCTTCTCCCAGTGGGCGAACTCTTTGTCGGTCGTGTAATGTACACTGCTGCTTCTCTTCATTGAGAACGTTCTGAGAATGAGGCCGAACAGTTAAAGTAAAAGATTCACACAGACTCTTAATTCAGAAGTTACACGCTGCGTCTGTGGAGCCAAAGAAGCGTCAGACGTTCATCCACACCGATCAACGAGGGCGCCGTTTCAGTTTCTGAACATCTTTTATTCATTTTTAAACAAAAAAATAAGAAAAAGGGACTCGAGGCCAAAAGAGCGCCGATAAAACTGTCTGGAGGTGAAACCAAATAATTCCTGTAAACACTGGATAGTTACTGACTGTGGTGAAACCGTTCTCTATCTGTGAGTAAAACCTCCTTTCAGAGAGTTCATCGCTTTCAGTTCAGCTATGGAGAGAATCCATTAAACCTCCATCACGCACTGCGCCGACGTCTCCATGACGACTGAGAAAGCTCCACCATACGGTAAAAACATCAAACTGTGATTAAGAGACATTTGGTGGTCTACAAAAAACATACAAAATTACGTTTTGTCAGATTCTTGTGATTTGGATATTTGGATTAACTGGCCTAGAAGACAATGAGACATAGCTGAAAGCTCGGGGAAACATTACAACAAAGTGGACGTTGAGGTCGGTGAAATCTCTGAGCGTCCCTGAACACACCAATGGGAGCGTTTTCTAATCATCAATTCATAAATGATGTGAAGATAAACTGATGGATTCTCTCTGCTAACTGAGAGCGATGAACTGTGGAAGGAGTCGAAACAAGCGGACGTATTGACGATCGATTATCGGATTTATTTGGTTTTCTTGTCCGATGCCAGCGAATCGTGGAGTTTAGAAACAGCCTTTTCAAACTGGTCCATCACCAGAGTCCCGTTCTCGTCGAAGAACACCGACACAGACTTGGTGAACTCGGCTTCCCTCCAGGCCTTCGACTTCCCGTCAGCGAAGGAGACTCTTAGAGTGTACTGGTCATCGAACCTGTGACACATAAAACACACAAAGTCGATATTAAAGATATCTGCTCCACACCGTCCAACCAAACTCCATTCAGAAAACAGCTGCTTTAAGGACAAGGCGTAAAAACAGCAACACTAAGACTCTTCAATCTACAGACAGTCATATTTCCTTCGTTACTAATAATCTGTATCTGTGTCCTTATTGTGGAGCTGTGGAGAAGAAAGAGTGCATTATGGGTAAAGATTCAGACCTTTTGAGGGAGGAGGAGAGCTGCCAGACGTGATCCGGATCCATCCCGGCCGGATCCTTCTGCAGGGCCACCAGGAAGATGTTCTTCTCTTTGTAGGAGGTGTACAGGGTCAGGATGCCCATCATGATGAAGTACGTGATGGAGGGGGGGCAGTTAAGGAACCAGAACCAGCACAGACACACAATCTGATCCACATCCTGAATCAAAGCCTGCTCGTTTTAAAGGTCACAGTCCTCGTTTTACACTCGGACGTCTTTTTACGTCTCATAAATTTGACTTTTTAAACCATAATTGTACATTTTTATCTAAAAACTGATTTTTTATCACATAATTTAGGCTTTTTATTTCATATTTACAACTTTTTCTCTCATTTTTTATTATTAATCTAAAGATTTGGACTTTAAATTTCATAATTGTTCATTTTTATCTAAAAACTGACTTTTAATCTCATAAATTTGACTTTTTAATCCATAATTGAGCTTTTTTATTTCATATTTACGACATTTTATCTCATATTTGTTTATTTTTCTCATAATTCTGACTGTTTTATCTCCAAACTGTGACTTTCTTTATTGATATTTAGGACTTTCTTTGTCATGATTTGAAGGATATGAGATGACGCAGCAGGCGAGGACCGGTCTGGACTCGGGGAAGGGGTGCAGGTAGTCCCAGACCAGAGCCAACATGGCGAACAGACAGGAGACGGTGCAGATCACCAGACGACCGTCAACCAGATTGAAGTTCTCCAGGTAACAGAACTTCTCCAGGAGCACCTGAAGGCAACAACCGTTATAGACGACTGAAAATACAGTTAGATAAAGAGCCGATGGATAAATTCAGTTCTATTGATTGATCCACCTTCTTAGCAGCGTCGTCCAGAGAGTTCTTCACTGCGGCTCCGTCCCATTTATCTATTTTCACTGGTTTCTCATCGATCCTCCACTGAAACAAAACAGCTCATTGATTAATCTCTTTATAACCGATTAGTTTCAGTCTTTTTAAACATTATCAACACTAACAGGTAGAAATACACACTGACGGTTATTATTAGATAATATAACACATATAATAACAGAACAATAACATCACAGCCAGCTGTTGGTGAGTGTCAGTGTGACTATCAGTATATTATATATATATATATATATATATATATATATATATACACATATATATATATGTATATAGATTTACAAAGGTGGCCCCGAATCAGACCGAGGCCGTGCTTGGAGTCTACAGCCACCTGCAACACCTGCGAGTGTCCTCTCTCAGTCTGAGGGCGGGTGTCGCGTAATCGAAGTTTAAAATCTCTGTTTTCTGAATGGAGTTTTGGTGCAGCCGCGTTGCAGCAGCTGGAACCAGCCTGCCTGCCCCCAGTTTAAAGACTGACTTGCTGCCACACAACAATAAACCACCTTCTTTACGAACCTGTTAACATTCTATTATAATTATATTCATTTATATTCACTGTTTGCTGTTTGATCCTTTAAACGGGGTTTGATGCCGACGAAACACCAGTAAACTTTAATCTCACTTTCCTCCAGCGGAGTCCACTCTTCCCGCTCCTCGCGGCCGCCATCTTCTCTTCCGCTTGCAGTACGCGAGCTGTGACCTGCCGGCCTCTGATTGGGCTGCCACCGACCGGCAACGTGACGTTAGCGCGTCATGCGTGCGCGCGCTTCCTCTCTCATACGGTCATTTCACGTTTAAACAAACTACAAGTTTAAAATCTTGAAACTCACTTTACTGATCGAATCACTTTTGGTCGCATCGGACGTTTAAATCAATAATAAATGGAAATTTAAATTCGTTTAATAAGATAAAAAGAAAATAAAAAATAATTACATGAACAACCAAAGTCTTTACAGTCAGCTGATTAAAACTCAATATTATTAATATTTATATGAGATATTAAATATCTATATTCTTTTAACAGGTCACATGGTGCTTCTCACAGTGAGGTTAAATCACTGCGTTTTATGGGAATGGAGTCTGGTGGTCGTCAGTCGAATCCAGTGAAATCTTTAAAATATATTATAATTTTTCCAGAAGCAACATTGATTATTTACCGATCTGATCGTTCTAATCAAACTCTGTATGGAAGCCAATATTTGAAGGAAAGTTCCTCATTATAATGTCTTGTTTTGGTTCACATCTCCAACCAGCCAAACGTTCTGCTATTTCAAGGACTTTATTGATCACGAATAGTTTTCCTGTTAATGGAATAATTCCTGTTGTTTCTAGGTAACGTCTTATAAATCGGGGCCCACAGTACATGAAAGAGACAGCAGTACTCACATCAGAAACTTTATGAAAAGAAGGGACAGAACACGTGGTTGGGAGAGTTCCTCTTCTGGCTTGCTCTCCTTCTCCGTACAACCGATTAGAAACATCATTTGGCACTCAGCTCCCCCAACCCCTCTGCCGTCAGACTGCATCCACCCAAAGCGGACCAAAGCCTTTACTACAACTTTACGAAAATTTGCCCCATATCGGTGTTGCTTAGGATAGTAAAAAAAGCCCTTCAGAGAAAACACTTCAAACTTTCTGTCCATAAATCAAAAAGAAATCAATAACATGGATCATCTGACAGAATCAATAACTGTAAAACCAAACGGCTGCAACCACATTCACATTACTTTTACCTTACAGTTTTCAGGGTTCTTCTGTATTTTACTGGGGAGTCTGAGACTTTCGTACGGAAGCCTCGATTAGTACCCAAAGTGGACGGGCCAAAAAAAGATTTCTGTTAAGTCAACAATAATTGGGCAGAAACTTTATTATAGCAGACATTAAAATCAATACACTGAGTTCGTTTCTCATTACGGACGACTTACAGCAATCCTTTTTTTAGTCACGTTGGCCATCAAACGGGCTTCCGTATAACTCGCTCCTGTACAGTTCATCACTTCCAGAAGGAAACAGTTGTACTTCTTTACTATTTATATGACACTAATAAACATCTGATCGGGGGGAGTGCTTTTAATTCTGAAATTGGAGGCTTTAAATGCTGTTATTCTGCTATGAAATGAAATCATTGTAATATTTGCACCTGTTTCAATCAGCGCTTTGGCGTCTTTATTCTGTCCTGAAGCGCTTGATTTAAAAGGTCCAGTGTGTAAACAGTGAGGAGGATCTACTGTTCCAGGAACCAGATATAATAATCACAGTTTGTTTTTTATTAGTGTTTAATCACTGTTTGTGTGTTTGCTTATCTTACAATGAGCTGAAAGAATTTTTGGCGGTGGTGAAGTAAACATACAAGTTAAAAAATGAATTTAAAACTCCTTTTTAAAACACTTATTAGCAAGCCTTGCTTGTCATTGACCCAGTTAACAAAAAAGCTTTATACGCAGAATATAATTACAAGTTTAACGTAGAGGCCAGATGTGTGAAAGACCTGGTCCTGTACGGGGGCCGGGCCGGTCTCAGGAGGGCACTGCTTATACAGACTTTCCAACAGTTTACGGACCCCAGTCTGAGCGAAACATTCAAGTTTCTTACTACACACCTGGGGAAAGCTGAGTGCAGGTATTTCAGTAGACTAGAAGGCCAAGTATGCTTGCCGCTTGAGACCTGTCGCGCGACACATGGTGACATCAAAATGACGCTAGGATCTCGCTTGGGGCGCGACAGGTTTTGGGCCCGCGTGGCCGGCGGAAGGTCGCCACCACTCTTTTTTTTTTCAGCTGAGCGCCAAAACCGGCGAAACAGGAAGCTTTCTGGAGCCAAGCTGCGCCTCTACAGAACATCTGTACGAATCCTTAATGAAGCGAACACAGAAGCATTCCAACATTCATGGGCCAAGAAATCACCATGAATGTTGGAGAAGAGGGAGGCCATATGCCGGAAAATTTGCGAAGAAACCTCCGGCGGCACCATTTGGAAAATCAAAAAAGCAGCGCCCCGCCCCATTGTTTACCTTTTTCTTCTTCTTTCTAGTTGCCGTAGTAGAAATAGCAAAGCTCGGGGTAAGCCTTTTGCTCAGTTGCGGCCACCTCTGTTCAGGAGGAAGGACTGCAAGCTAGTGTCGCGACCACCAGCGACAGTTAAATAGTACGCGCTCCCGTGTTACGTCACGTTGTCCGCGCCGACAGGTCGTCAGTGGCGAGTCTACAAGACACTTAAGTCCTACACACTGGACCTTTAAAGGTGTTCAAATACTTAAAGTTAATACTTCTTTATGTTGACGGAGTATTTCAGTAGAACACTGACGGATGTTTTAGAGACTACGAATGTAAATTTATGGCCATTATTTGTTTGATGTATATATTTTATTCATGTTCCCTCTTATTTGTTGTATCTGTTTTATTGGGTATTTTATATTTTTCTCACATGATTTTACATTAGTTCATTTAGGGCTGCAACTAATCATTAATTTCATCATTAATTAATTCATTTCCAGAACTTTTGAGATTTGGACTGAGACTTTAAACACAGACTCCTCCTACAGACCCGGTTGGGTTTCCTTCCTCGAAGCTTTTTAAAATCTGGACCCCTTACACCGATAACACGAGGCGGGTCACAGAGTGTCCTGATCCAGGTCTGTTCTGTGAATGGCTCTAAAGACTACAGTACCCATGAGCCTCAGCAGAGGAGAGTCCATCCAGAGCTTCAACACGTTGGGGGTCGACACCCGAAGAACATCTGACAAACGTTCAGACTGGAAGACTGTCGGACCAGAACCCGTAGTGGGAGGAGGTACTGGGAGAACTTTTATTGGTCTGATGGTCTTTATAGTCCTGGTTCTGGGCTGCTGAAGGATCCAGACACACAGTCATCAGAGGACAACTGGAGGTTCAGGTCTCCTCAACGTGGTCCAGCAGCTCGGACACGATTCTGAATGAAGCTCATGAAGACGTGAAGATGGTGGACGTGTTGGGACCAGTTCCCTTCTTTAACTAAAGCTCCAGACCTCCATTGCGCCCCCTAAAAGCTCCAGACCTCCCATTGGCCCCTAAAAGCTCCAGACCCTCCATTGGCCCCCTAAGCAGGACCTCCATTGGCCCCTTAAGCTCCAGACCTTCCATTGCCCCTAAAGCTCCAGACCTCCATTGGCCCCTGTTGCCTCCAACAGTGAAATCCAGACAAATGGTATCAGCCAGGTTTGATTTACAGCATTTATGGCTTTGTTTGATTGATCGATTCATTATTTAATCTATTATCCAAAATGAAGTCACATGAATCAGGTTGTCCTCCAGAACCTGATGAGTTTACTTCAGTGAGATCCTGATGGGACTGTTCAGATTTTGGTGATTTGCTGGTGAAAAGACGTGAAAATGTTGGAAGAAATGTTCAGTTTTAAGATTTATGAGCTTTTTCCTCAACAGTGAGTTTAAAGTTTGCTCCACATTCATTAAACCTTCACCTGTCGTCACTTTGCATATTTTAACCTCTTCCAGACAAACTCCTCTCTAGTGCTTCTTGTTGATTCGTCGGGATCTCCTCAAGCCACGCCTCCTGCGGTTCTGATTGGACATCCAGGACCGCAGGAAGTACGTGTCGGGGCTCCTCCTGCGGTTGACGGTCTGGTTCTCCAGGTCGAACTGTCTCTGCAGCTTCAGGGCGAGGGCTCGGTCCTGACGCTCCTGCTGGATCTGACGGATGTACCGCTCGTCCAGGGCCTCCTGGCTGACCGACCGGCTCCTCTTCAGGTCCGAGTCCCGGTCCGCGTCCAGGTGTTTGGTCTTCTGTTCCCTCTTCTTGCCCCTCCTTGAGGTAGACTGGTTGTGGAGGCTACTGTCGGACTCCTTCCTCGGACTCTGTGAGTCCTTTGGCACTAATTTACACGACTGGAAACCAGAGTTCTTAGTGTACGGCGAGAATGACTGTTTTCGGCTAAAGAACGTTCCTCCGCTGCCGGATTCGGGAGCGCCGACTGTCGGCTCAAAGTCTGAACTTCCTCTGAAAGTCGCGTCGGTGCTGTAGCGGATCGCAGGGACGCGGATCTTCACAGACTGTTTCTGGAAGGTGTCAGAGTCTGCGGCAGGCGGGTCGAACAGCAGCCTCCTCTTGTTGACCGCCGTCACTCCGTCTCCGTCCCGTCCTGCCGGGGACTGACGAGTCTTTGCGGCGCCGACCCCACCGTCCTCCCCGCCTCCCATCTTGCTGTTGAGCTCGTTGACGGGGCTCGTCAGCGTCGCTTTGGAGTTCACTTTGAGGCTCTGGCGGTCGAGTTCGATCTGCCTCCACTTCTGCAGGACGGCAGGACTGGCCTCGTAGCTGGTGGCCTTCTGCAGGCCGCGGGTCAGGTTCCTGGGCGTGGACTTCACGATGGTAGGCTCCATGAGACGGCCATCCGGGAGGCGTTTGGGCGGCGTGCACGGCGAGCAGACTATAGGTTTGAAGTGGTTGAGCTCTTCGGAGATGCTATCGTTGCTCTCGGGGCTGATGGAGCGCTCGGGGCGGGGCGGCAGGAGGCCCAGAGGAGTCGACGACGACGACGAGATGACGGCTCGCCAGGTGAGCCTCCGGTCGGGAGCGGTGATCGGCGCCGAGACGGAGCGACTGTTCTCAGAGGAGAGGAGGATTCCTGCCGTGTAGCTGTGACTGATACCAACCTGACAGAGGAACAAGAACCGGGTTTAGATGTTGTGACTCTGAGTCAGTTATCAACTTAAAGGTTTAATAACGTACTCGGTCCATCAGCGCCGGCTGGGTGACGACCTTCAGCTTCCCTCCTCGGTCCTCCACCGGGTCAGTGCAGCTCTGACTCCTCTGAGAACCACTGAAGAAGAAAAACACATCTTCAACACTGGAACTACTTCCTGTCAGCAGAGCTAATGATGCTGATGCTAATGATAAGAAGAAGAAGATTATTCGTGCTCACCCAGTGAAGGCTGCACAGTTTTTGGTTTTCCTGATGAAGGCTGAGATGTTTCTGATCCTCCTGCTGATCGGCTCCTCGTTCTCCGAGTCCGACAGAACTCCCTGAGAGAAACATGGATTTTAAGAAAGGATTATTATCAGTAAAATATCTATAAAAGGAGGAGAGAGGTTAAAGGTTAATGTTTGTAAAGAATAAAGAATTAGATATTAATACCACAGGTGGAGCGAGCAGCATTCGTCTCTGGCTGTAAGTTAGTTATACTCAGATATTAATGTAACTTACAGGCTCTTCATCGTGTCGCACTGACTCGTTCCTCCTCTTCACGTCCTCGCGGTCTTCAGACAACAACAGCTGAAACAGTACAAACACAGTGCAGTAGGGGTGGGTAAAAATATCGATACAGCAATATATCGCGATACTTTACCCGCCCGATACAATATCGATTTGTCAACTCCAAAGATCGATTTTTTTAAGAATAATGATTCATGTTTAGACACGTTGTGAATAGATGGCGCAGAAGAGCGACTCTGCTG